GGTGGGTTTCTTTGTTATGGATTTTCACATTTCGTCGATCGAATGAAGTAGTCAGGGGATATTTATGGAAACCGCGAGAGAGAGAGAGAATAGCTAACTACTGTCTATATAATTCTAAGGGATATTATATCATTGCTTAATTTGGTCTATTTTAAATATTATAACGTTGTTTGACGTTAAAAAAAAAATAAGTTAGTATAACATGTTCTTGGGTTGATTGCACTAGGCCGTTCAATTTTTTCCGTTTCGCTCCGATCCCCAATCTTTTGACCTTTTGATATTTTCCTTTTAAAAAGTACATCTTTTCATATTTCTCCCTAAACTATTTAAACTCTTCCAATTTTCCAAAATCGAAATTTCATGTTATTAACCGATATTTCGTCTAACCTAATTACGTTTACAATAACCCAATTTTAGTTAAATTTTGAATTCGAACCCTATTTAAAACCTTCCTTTTCATTGAGAGGATTCCAATACCGGTTAAAGCAAACACGATTATGAACTAAGTTAATCTAAACCTTATTCTCTTAAACGCAATTTTCGGTTAATTAAACAAAATCAATGGTTTAACTCGATTTCAAAAAATTTGAAGAAATTAAATAGTTTAGGGGAAATATGAAGAGATATACTTTCTAAAGAGGAAAAATAAAGAAGTCAAAAGTCTGGGAGAATCGGAACCGAATGGAAAAAGTTGAGAGGGCCTAGTACAGTCAACCCCATGTTCTTTCACCTTAACTTGTTACTATATACGGTGTCTATACTTTAATTTGATTCGTATTATATGTGAAATTTACAAAATAATTATTAAAAATATTTAAGTTAATAACAAAATTTAGATGGTAACGGTAAACTTCGTTGATGTAAAGTGAACATTAATTTTTGTTTTTTTTTTGTTAAGAAATGTTGCATTTCGTTATATGCTTACAATAAAACTTGTTTAACACTCAAATCATATATTGCATTCACTTTAAAAACATTTTTGATTAAAATAATTTTTCGTTTAATTCAATTTTTTTTGTCTATAACTTAAGAAACAACAAAATTTAACAATTTGTGGTTGAGTTCTTAGAGAAATTTAGTTGGCTAAGCAATTGCGAATGTGAATTGCAAATATGTAAGTTAATTTAGTTGGTATTTTTGACGGCATGCTTCCCCTCGGTGTTTC